AATTACACGTTGTCTTCGCTCCAGTAAGAGAATCGCTCCCCTTTCAAACACTCTTACAAGTATTCGCTATACAGGGTGTCCCTCGGCATCGGGCAACTATATCGGTACGTGGAAACAATATCAAATAGCTGGTATTAAACATATGCTTATCTTCGAGTTGTAGCGAATTTTTTCTTTAACAAATTCAATCTGCATGCTTTTACGAGATCTATTCAAAATGTCCTGCGTGTATACGACCACAATACCGAAGTCGTTTTATCATTGACTGGGTGTGTGGATTAGACAGAATTGGGCAGGATTAGAATACGAGGTTCAACGTCGAATATCGAGGTCTATTTGGCTCAATTAGTTTAATTTCTTCTATCTTTCGATAGAAATGTTCCGACGTAAAATTCGTTATAACTCGAAAACAAGATCTAACAGGGCACGCTAATCTTTTAGCGCGAATCTTTTTTATTGTTACCATGCGCAGAATCCATCGCCGAAGCGGTTGCCCGATGCTGCGGGAACACCCTGTATGCATATTTATACATATACAAATTCTAAAGACGTTCGATATGAGCGACTCAAATTGCGCGGCAATTTTTGAATAATTTTTGAATAATTGGCCGGGCAGGTACAGGCCGATTATTCATCTCTCGGTTGTAAATTTTGGCGCGTCGTGGACTCGCGTGAAACACCTGTGCCTAATTATTCTCTTCTCCTGGATGGATGTTGCGAAAGAGGAGGGGATAACTGTTACGACCGATTTACATGGCGGGATAAATAAGCGGCTGATTCGCGAGAGGCGGGGAAAGTCGCAATTAAGAGATCACCCGCGCCGGACACGAACCCGAAAACGTAAGTCACCGAGTGTTTATCCGATGTATTTCCACTGTTGGTCCACGTTGATTGATCGCTCGTAATTGCCGACGCGCTCGCGCCGCTTCATCGTCCACCGATCGGGCCTCGACGCGGCCATAAACGTTTTCGCGAGGCTATACACGACACGTGAATTATACGCATGTAATTACACGTGTAGCCGGGCAGCGCGGTCGTTAATGCGCGACTACCGCGTGACAGCCGTATTTTCCGAGTTATTGCCCACGCCACGGGACGGAACCAAGCAATCGACCGTCGTAAACGAGTCACACTTTTACACACGCTCCACTTGGTTCCTTTATTTGAGTATTTGCCGATTTTAAACCGCTTGACCGGTGATCAAGGGTGTTTAATTTACGTCAGAGTAAAAGACTTTTCGGTGAGAAATGCTCTTTCGAGATAATTACAGAAAGATTTAGATGATTTATCGCGCGATCGTTGTGATGGAGTCATATCGCAGAATTTGGCTATTTTTCACCGCGATCGGCGATTATGCCTGTTTAAAGTAACGTCAGAGTAAAATATTTCGGTGAACAAGTTTTTCTGACGATCGTATAAACGTTGGTTTGTAATTATTCCTTCGGACAAATATCGCATTCGTACAGGGCGAAAAGAAAGTTTTCTTTGGAAATGATAGATATATCGATTTATTTTTGATTGATTTAATTGAATAAAACGGTAGACTAATCGTTCAAATCCTAGAGACGAAAGCCTATTTCTAAATCAAATCGTCGAGATGGTTGCACGGCATCTAACAACGTTTGCTTGAAATGTCTTTTAACGACATATACTTTCTTCGGCAAAAGATAAATGCGTTGGGCAATATAAATTAATCTGAATTTATCCATCGATTGAATCTGAGATTATTTACTTTTCTCGAAATGTTTCGAAATTACACCTTATTAATAAACCACGAAAAAGCCTGCAAAGAACATTTCTCAAGATTCAATTTCAGAATTCCCAACAGTTGATCCAATCTCGAAACAGATCATGAATGCACTTCATCTATACCCTTACTTTAATCGAGTAACGATTCTCACGGAATCGGCTGAATATTACAGAGGCAGCATAATACGGGCGTATATCATTTGCTGATCGCATGGAAGCGATTCAACATTCGTCGTAAAACATTGGATCGTCGGTTTCTCAGGAAAACCGGGTCTCTGGCCGTCCCGAATTACCATAATTACCGGACCTATACGAAACGAATAAAGTCATTGGTGGTAGCGTTAACGTGGAAGGCCTCGTCCTCGTAAGGATCAGGTCCTGACGTTTAAGGGCGTGCGGAAGGGAGGCGGCAAGGGGGATAAAGGGGCATCGAATTAAAGTGGCGGTGCGCATGAAGCCATTATAAGGCCGGTTGCAACCGCGGCGCGTCCCACAAATCGGACCCCGGACCTCCTTGCTCGCGAGTTAAGAGCAGCCGGTAATTTGCGATTAAATGAAGTAATTAACGGATTAAAATTCAAGTGACGCGCGATCGCTGGTCGTTTGTCAGCCTGGCGTTGTACGATGCTCCGCGGGATGCTGCCCGCTCGTTAATGTCGCCATCGTACGCTACCGATCAGAGATTCTTCCCTTTTTCCTTAGGGACGTTCTTTTGTAAACGTACATTTCTGCGGGCAGAAATAACGCGCGTATATATATATATGTGTGTGTGTAGAATAGTCGACGAGTAGAAGGAATAAAACAGGGAATTCGAAGCATTATCGTTTACTCGGAATTTTTTCGCGGTCTCGATGAGTCGGGAGAGCCGTGTTTAAGTCATTATAGGTCTCGCGGTGTCCATTTGGGAATTGTAAAAGGGAGTTCGTAATATGTTTCGTGATACTGATTACGATGTCCAAAAGATGGCGGCTTTTTTTAGATAAAAATATGTGTATTGTATTTGGTATTTTAAAGTGTATGTACTTTTTGGACTGAATTTACGAAGAACTAATTGCCATTCGTAGAATTGTACGTGTAATGATTCTTACAGTAGTTCTTTCTTTTATAGTATAATATATACAGAGTGGTTGGTAACTGGCGGTATAAGCGGAAAGGGGTTGATTCTACGCGAAAAAAGAAATATAGAAATATAGAATAAAAATAATCGGAAATATAGAATAAAAATTTTTAGCTTGAGGCTTTGTTTTCGAGAAAATCGACTTTGAATTTTCGCTCGCTATAACGCATCTCACTGTGGATAGTTGTCTCGATGGAAAACTTAAAAAGAAAATTTTTATTCTGTATTTTCGACTTCTTTTTTCGCGTAGAATCACCCCCTTTCCGCTTGTACCACCAGTTACCAACCACCCTGTATATGTAATATTGTGACACGAGAGCTTACGAAATTTGTTTAATACTTTTTTATTTTACCAAGTTTGAAAAGAATCAGTAGAATGAGAAGATAAATGCAATCATAGATTCTTGGAATAATACGTCGAATAAGAATTCTTCAATCGTAAAAAGTACAGCGTATGGTTTCATATCAACGTTCACCAAAAAACATTAAATTTCTTTCATTTGAACATCAGGTTCTGAGATGCTGGTCTAAAATGAGAATCGGATTCTGATAAAAAGACGAAAAAGCTATAACAAAAATTAAAAGATTGGAATAAAAGTATAAACGATTAATAAATCGCTACCTGCTTGTGTCTAAAGTAGCAATACCTGAATCACAATGCAACCGACCGTAAATTCGAGATTTTCCAGCGCTAGTTTTCATCTAAGAGACAGAGTGTTTTATGAAATTTTTCATAGGTGATGGTCGGCGTCGCGCACAGAGGATATCGCCGGTGATTAAGCGATTATCGTTCGGTATACGACTAGACAACCGGTTACCACGACGATGTACAGTCGATTCCGCGAAATTATAGTGTTCTTAAATAAAGCATCGTAGGCGTGCGCCTCGTGCGTCCCTTCGGTTTTATGTTCATTGGAATCACGACGAACGATCAATGCAGCGAGAGAAATACAACCCGACAAACATTTTACAGTCTCACGCGTAAAACGTAACTATTCTTACGTGCTTCTTCGCCCTAAGAATGAGACATAAACTCTGCTTGCAATATGGCAAGTGATTTTCCTCTTGTCTTTTGCAATCTTGCAATTTTGCTTATTGATTGAAACATAGAAAAAATCTACAGTCATTACTTGTTTATATTTTCTGCAGATTGGTATTAAAAATTCCTGGAAACATAATAAATGTATCTCTTCCTACGGATCACCTAATCCTCATCTATCTTATAATTAACTTTCTCACGCTTGATGTTGCGTGTATATAACATTATATTTCAATAAGTTGGTAATTAACTAAGTGATAAATGTATCTGTTTCCAGCAAACCGATCTTGAATTTCATATCATTGTGCTAGTCATCGATATGAATAATTCATAAGGGAGAATTTTTTTACAATTGAAAAAACTGATATTAATTACTCGTAGAACATTGAGAATAAGATAGGGTGAAGAAGAGAACTTGGGAATAAAGAAACAATTATTCCATGAATCTCTATAACCTACATAGGTTAAAGATCACATGGAAAACGATCAAATTCGTGAGTTATTGGAATTGATTAAAAGATTAAATATAATCAATGACGTAGGTAACGTAATAACAACCCCTTCCGTTCTCCTTTTTGTTTCTTTTCTTCCGCTCTAATAATCATGTTGTTAACGTAATGTTAATCTTCCGATAAAAAAAAGTCAGAAAGATGAGAAGAAATTCTTGGAAAGATAATAATCAATTGACGCAGCTGTTTGCGTTACCAACTCCACGTACTTTATGGCAGGAACCAGTGATTAATTTAGGATGCAGAGAAATATTTTAAATCCCGTTTCTGCCCGTCTTCGCCGGTCATTACAAGCTTCGGAAACGTCGCGTAATTACTAAATGATACACCAAACTCGAGTTTTGTCGGTAAACTGCTTCGTTTCACGAGAAATGGCCACCGATCAGCGTTTCTGGAAACTATCTCGAAAAATCTTATTCGATTAACGTCGTCGATTAAAAAACATGGCGAATATTCGTCGTTATTTTAAAACGAGTCATCGTAAAATCGTTAGGCGTCCGTGTTAAGGCAACGTGCTCGCTTTTATGAAGCACACCGCCTAGAATCGTAGACACGCATGGGCGTGACCGGTCGCCTAAGCGCTTTGGCGCGCGTCCGCGATGGCACCGTCGATGGTGCTCCGTGACATCGACGATTGACTGCTAATCGGTGACGTGATTCTGTGCAGAAAGACTTAAAAGGTGATTCTAACCGTGTTGCAATAGATTCGAGACAATTTCAAGCGGTTTCTGTACGCTTACGTAAGCTTCCTAGCCTGATATTGTAACAAAATCGGTGAGTAACGTCCTAATAAACGAGATTATTCACGCGAATAGCATGAAGACGTGACAATCATTGATCAAATATTTACGAATTTACTAATTCTAATTATTTATAATTAAAAAACCACGCAGGATCATCCGTGAAAAAAAAGTCACGATTCGTTATTGAAAAATCAAGTGGAATTAACTGTTGTAATAAATCGAGATGAATATCGCGGAATTATACGATTAATTAACCAAGTATTCAGAAATTTGCTAGTAAAAGGCATTTTTATCAACGTTAGATTATATCTACGTGGAATCGAAAGAACAGATTCATTTCTCAGAAAACGATTACGATTCGCTGCTCAAACACCGAGTTGAAAAGACTATCGTAATAAATAAGACTATTCGTACGTAAGAAATGTACGTAATAAAGTATAAAGATTATTAGCAACTATTTACAAGCGGAAGATATTTTTAGCCGCAGCTACATTGCATCTAATGTAGGTTCGAAAGAGCGAATTTGTTTTGTGAAAATTGGTCACGATCCATCGTTCAAACATCGAAAGTAGCTCCTGTTTGGTATACGTCGATCATACATAAATGATCGTGAGGTTTAATTTATAGAGCAGCGACAGGGAGCCTGTCAATCGTGACTTCGATTAGGAGGAAGCGTGATCTTGTAAGGCTCGTCACGTAACGCACCGACATCGCCATATCGAACGTTGGTTAATTTAGCCGTGGCAATTTATTGAGCGAACTCGCTGCCAACCGTGCGTATCGCTAATATTTCATCGTGCAACCAGCTACCGATTAAATCGTGTCTCAACCCAATTATGCTATATAAGCAAGCTTAAAATTTGACAATATCGGTATCGCTGATCGAAAGACATCTCGGTCGTACCATGTATGTATCGGCAAACCAGATGACAACTAAGATTGTAGTATGACGGACGTTTGAATCTCTGCGCGGATGAACAATGTAACGTCGTTGTTTGATTGATTTTACAATGATGTAGCTTTGCAATAATGTGGTTTACCGCAGTGAAAATTTATTTATTCGATATAGACATATGGGAGTAATTAAAAATCGATACGTATTTCATAGAATTCAAGAATTTCAAAGAGAGTAGAGTTTTTTAACAAGCAACAGCCGATAAATACCTCCGTAGCGTTAGTTTATAATAATCTCGAAACAAAATTCGAACAATAAAATCTAGCCAATTAAATCTAACTAACCAGCTGATATTTTAATCGAATCTTCTAGAGACCGATTTTCAATTAACCCAATTTTATTTACTTCGATCGACAAAGTTTCTCGTGCGGTTGATAAAGCATCCTCAATTAAATAAATTACACAACACGAAAACCATCGATAATCCAAATGATTTAACTCGTTACTCCCAATTAACGAGTGGAATATAATCGGAACTCTGCAACGTACATCTACAATGTATTTCCGTATCAAACTTACACATCCTGGCAGCATGCCCGATCCAACGAGCGCGCTTTCTCGATAATTAATTGCGAGGAAATCCAGTTGGCGGTTGTAGAAAGCCGAAAGCCGATACCGTTACAAACGAAACAGGAAAAAAGTGTCGGTGTAACAGCGAATTATTCGTACGATTGGTCGCTGATTTCATCAGGCGATAACGAGCAGCGTCGCTGTCACTACGTTGGTTAAATAGTTAACGCGAATTCAGTGGACGAGGGTGGCGATACACCGGGGATAATCGATAGAGATCGAAATCGGACCGCGTCCATTCTCTTGACAGTCGGGGCACGCCACGCCGGACTTCCGGCACGTAGGCCAAGCTTGCATTTCAATGCTACGAGCCTCTCTTACGAGACCATAAGATTGTGTGTACCGGTGATCGTGTAGGCTGCGTTATTTCTCGTTCTTTCTCTTCTACACGAGGAAAAAGGAACGACACGATACACGTCTCGATAAACGCGTACTTAGGAAAGACATTTATAAAATACCGGATAGATGGTGGGTTGCACCAATCGACTGTCGGCGTTCGTTAACCGCGTTTTTGCTTTAGAATGAAGTTTGCAGATTGTACCTGAAGTAATTACGATTAGATGAGCGATAACACGTTGCTGCATTCTTCCAGTATCATTTGGCAATTGCAAGTTTAGAACAGAAATGTTTATGCATTTGTAGGAAATTCAACTGTCATGTAAGACGTTATACTGGAATAATTTTCTAGTAAAATTCCGAGATACAGAGAAAGCTTTGGATGACAAATTTTAATTTGTATTTATAAGATACGGTTACGAGACTCAATTCGATCGAAAATTACTCAGACAGTTACACGAGAACGAAGTATGTGTATTTGATGTACTTTACAACCCCATAATGGTGGTTAAGGGATAAGCGTGTAAGAATATGCAAAAATATATAAAATTTCTAAAGCGAAGTGTTCGTTAAAATATTTCAAGGGTGAAACTAATTTATACTTAGATTTCATTCATTTAGTCGTATTCTGCTAGTGACGCATTGCACATGGTCGTGCCAGTCTTTCTATTAGACACTTGTTTTTAAACGTCACTCTGCTATCTTTCAACGATTTTTTTTTCGATAAAATTGTTCACTGTTATTTATTAATTTTTCTTATCGTTTTCTGTTACAGCAATGAGCCCAGCTTTGGGAATGCACCCAGGTATGGCGCCACATCTGCAGCAACTTCAGGCGCATCTCCTAAGGAGCGCAGCTGCCGCAGCTCTTCTACCCCATGCTCACCCCCTACAACCCCCTGCACCACCTCCACCACCACCTCATCCACACCCCCATGCCCACGGATTATCGCCGCATTCGCAATTATACCCCGGTGTGCCACCTCATTCCACGGCCTCAGCAACCCTCGGACCTCATGGAGGAGGATTGCCGCCAAAAACTGAGGTAAGCATGGACATTTTTCATAATTTCCAATATTAACCAGTTCTTCACTCTTAGCCAATGACATTGATTTTAATCTATGTTAATATCATTTTGCATTTTAAAATAAAAGCCGACGTTAAACCACGCAATTGGTCCATGAAAGGTACATATACATAGATATTTCGTCCAAGCTTAAAAATTGTATTATTTACACAAACTGTTGGTATTAAATATCCAATAAAACAAATATTTCTGATAATGTAAAATAGTATTCCCGAAGAGGAATTTCAAGCAAGCGAATACACTTGATTCTCGAATAAAATATAACCTTTCAATCGCTCGAATACCTTGAAAGAAATATCGAGCTGGAAATAACGAAGTACCTACCTATACTTGTACCAGTCTATGCCTTATACATGAAACATCGATTCAATGAATATGTAAAAACAATATCTGGTGGATCTTTCGTCATGCTCTCGTCTCACGCAATACACAATTCTAGCAAACATATCACTTAGTACAGCGCTGCATATCGCAGAATTACAGATGCCTGTTCGATTGTTAGTGGCAGTCAGGCATGGACGTATGCTCGATAGCTCGTCATCGATTCATCTGGAATAAGCAATAAGTAATCGTTCCCTCAGCCTTCCATGTTTTCCTCCTACTAACCAAGTACCGTGCACGCCGTTCACAGTCTCTGCAAGGTTTTCAGAAGACTTCTCAGCTTCATCCTCGTGGCACGCAAGGAGCAAAGGGGGAGAAAGAGAAAAAGATTGGGTTACCCTCGCATGGTCCTCGGGTTACAAGCAATCTCGCGCACATTATTTCGCCAGATTCCACCCCCGTCCACCTGACCATCGTCTTTTATCTTCTTCCTTCTCCTCTTTAGCTTCTTCTCCACTCCTACGTTCTACGTTTGCGTCGTTGTTAAACGCGCTCTCCGTATACCCTAGCCCTTACTCTCTTTGTTAAACCTCTCGTTTCTATTCACCAGCGGTTTCTTTAAAGCTCTTCGTTTCTATGTTTCTAGCCGGCTTTCTGTTTCTCCTGTTTGCTCTGATTTATTTACATCCGCGGCGGCGTTTTCATTTTCTCCGCCAGCGACACGACTCGCCGCGTGTCCGCACGCTGTAAAGTTCCCGTGCCTGATTGCATCGACTCGCGTTTCTCGCATCGTTCCATAGTACGCTGTGCTCGTGCACGATCTTTCCCACAGGGAAGTGATCGATGGATTTATAGGCACGTCGTAATCGAGAGGTTACTTACTTGTACGGGAATCTCGGTAGATCGATTCCTCGATTCCTGCAACGTTAATTCCGGTCGTCGTAACGTCTCTATGCTAATATCAGTTGATACATAGACGGCGGATTTTTTTGCATTTTTGTATTTACATAACTAAAGAAAGGAAATTTAAAGAAAAATTTGTTTTATCTATCAAGTATAGTAACAAATACTCTAATTTTGGACATTTTGTGTATTTTTGCATATTGCAGGCACTGTGAACATTTTTCTGAACTTCAAATTTTACATTCTACAGTTTGTAAATTCTATATAGCACCTAAAACTGAGAATTTTCTATTTTCTATTTTATGTTAGTGTTGCTTTTTATCTTTGTAGATATATATAGCATTCTAGAACTGAAAATTTTCTTCCTACTTTCTAATTTCTTCTCCAATTTTCTTGTCTAACTTTTATATTTCCTTTTTATAGTAGCTTTATAGATTCAGGATTATTAGTTTAATACTCGCTACCACTGCTACTGTTTAACGAGTATTATAAATACGTACGGTTTATGGTATTCGACGATGTTGTAGTGTACGATAAATTTCACGATCAGACAACTTAATTGAAGGAAGTTCCAGTAAACCATTCACGCGTTTCTCGACGCACGATCAAGCAATATGGCGCTACCCCGTCGTAAGCGCCTTGAAAGTGTTAATAATCTTTATCTACCTTCTGTATCTTTCTCGGCAACCAGAAGTGCTAAAAGTTTCTTCTTGGGGAACGTTTGCCTAATATCTTCCCAGGCCTTGAAACTACTCTCATCTATTCGTTACTCTTCCATTAACCTAAGCCGTGAAAGCTTCCAGAATTTGATAACCGTTACTAGAATCGAATAAAAACTAAAAATCTTCTGCCTCTCAGCTTTATATTTTATCAGAGATGGAAATGTTAAACTAACGTTTCCGTTATTTGCAAAATTACGAAATATTGTCAAACATTCTTTTAATTTTTTCCAGCATTTACAAATTCGTATTCGATTACAAAAACTATTTTGCTTCCTATAATTGTTGGAAACTCCATTTATAGGTAAAATTTTCATAGAACTTTATAAATGAAACTCTCATAATTCAGAATTCCTTTATTTATATCTTATAGTTGTAAAATATTTATTTATTAATTTGATTATAGTATATTCTTGTTTCTGAATACCGAGAAGATTGAAACCAACAATTAACCAAAATTATATTCTAATCGTCAGCAGTTATACTCAAAACATAATCGCACTGCGATATCGTTAAAAATTACCTTACCATCTTTCTCCAACGTTCCGAGTTAGCTATCATCGAACGTCTAAAAAATTTTCAAAATTCCTCCATAGCGGATCAAACTGCTCAAACAACTGTATTCAATCGTTGTTCAATCCTCAAACCCTTGGAACTAGCATCTCCATTTCAGTTGCAATTTATCGCAAGGTAGAAACGAGAATGTAGGCGGAGTTATGTCGAACTACGTCTGTATCATAACACAGAAGCAGGCAACCATCGGTTTACGAGGGCAAGGAACGATCGATCGGCTGAGCGCAGGGCTATACGGTACGCGATAATTGCGAGATCGCGTGCAGATCGTGTGTCACGAGGCGAGCTTCCTTCTGTGGTACCCTGAACGCCGCTGTTTGTTTCAGAAAATCGCTGGCCTAGTGTCAAAGATCGCCGATCGAACCTTCTGAATTCCTGCGGCGATCGAATTAGCAACTATCCGTTCTCCAATATCCTCCGTACTTGCTACCAACTTTAAATCACCTGGAATGATAATCGCTTCACACTCGATGTAAATTGGAGTTCGATACGCGGCGCGTTATTAATCTTTTTTTAGCTGCGTGACGTAAGAAATTACGGTGAAGGTTTCGTGCGATCTGTTATTTCCATTAACGTCGATGTGACGTCCAGTTGAAGTCCAGGAACGTGTATTTAACGTCGGATAAAATCGAGGGAAATTTAATTAGTCTGGGCTAACAAGGAATTATAACAATTCTTTAAAACGTATATGAGGTGGTATCAAACGTGTTGGTTCGGTTAATGAAGAAACGCGTGATATAATTGTGATAATCAGTTATATTAAAATCACTCTAGGTACAAGTACAGAGTTAGTATATTACGTCGTAATCGTCACTCGCTCAATGCTATTCGCTTGCTAAACTTGCTACACTCACTACAATGATTGTGCTAGAGAGAGCATGTTCGTCTATTTATATTGGTAGGGGAGTACCGGAAAATGTGAATACGATTCCGATTGACCATCGTCAATGTGTAATCACACATAACAGGGATATTGTTTTGTCCGGAGTTCGTTTACCTTTAAGTCGCGTACATCAAAACGGTGTTGATACTCCGAGGCAAAACAACAACATGAGTCACTCTCCATTCGAATCGTCCTATGACCCATGTGCCGCTACAGATACGTAATTCAGAGGGATTGGTAATCGGAGAGATTGACGATCGGTTTGCAGAGCACGGAGTCCTGCAGAAAAGCGTCAGAATCGTCGACCAGGTCGGTGACGGCCGAGGCGGACACGTCTTCGAGGAGAGCTTCTACGAAGGTAAAAAGGGAGCCTGCGACGACGACGACGAACGCTGCCACGACCACAGCACCACCTACTCATCCTCAAGGACTTAGCCCTAGCGAAGATCTTCGAGATGAACCTGGAGATTTTATCGAAACGAACTGTCACTGGAGGGACTGTGGTCTTGAGTTTCCTACTCAGGTGAGAATTTTAATAACGCTTTTTGAATTGTAAAATTTCATTAGCTTCTTAATATATACAAGTTTCTAAATTTTCACGTAATTTTGCTTTTATTCTTATCGTTATTTTAATCCAATGTGATTGTAAGCTTGTAGCATAAATTCGTCTTGTTTTTATATTTATTATTATAAACGAAAAGAGGAGACGCAATATATATAGGTACAACTTAATGTTATATAATAGTGTGTTAGTGTGTCCTAGTGTGTTAATATACAAGTTAATTTAATAGTTCTATATTTTGGTTCTTAAAATTAATACTTTACATTTTTATCACTTACAGGATGATCTTGTGAAGCACATCAACAATGACCATATACATGCGAACAAGAAGAGCTTCGTTTGTGGTTGGGAGGAGTGCTCGAGGGAGGAAAAGCCATTTAAGGCTCAATACATGTTGGTGGTGCATATGAGAAGGCACACCGGTGAAAAACCTCATAAGTGTACTGTGAGTACATAAAACTTAGAACGAAGATTCGCAACGTGCTAGTTAAATATTTATATTTATGCTATAATTTGTGTTATTACAGTTCGAGGGATGTTTCAAAGCATATTCGCGTCTGGAGAACTTGAAGACGCATCTGAGGTCCCATACCGGAGAAAAACCATATACTTGTGAATATCCTGGTTGCAGCAAGGCATTTAGTAATGCCAGCGATCGCGCGAAACACCAAAACAGGACTCATTCCAACGAGGTAATTATTAAATATAAAATCAACCCCCTCTTAATTGGCGGGATACTTAATTATAGAAGTTAAGATTAAATACTCCAAAATTAAGCAATCTCTAATTTAAACTATTTTAACTAACTGTACCAATTAAGACGTAAGTCCAAAATTTCTAAAATTAAATGTACACCAAAATCAAATTTCCTAAATTGTATTTCCAAAATTTAAAAGCTTGATCTTTGTACTCATGCTATAATCTTTAACACCGTGATTTCCAGAAACCATACGTTTGCAAGGCGCCAGGTTGCACGAAAAGGTACACCGATCCATCATCTCTGAGAAAACACGTGAAAACTGTGCACGGTGCAGAATTCTACGCCAATAAGAAGCACAAAGGAGGCGGTGGAGATGGCGGAGGCAGTGACGAGGCTGGTGCAGGTGGTCATAGCCCTAGCAGAAGTGAAGATCTGCATCCGAAGACACCTAGTTTGTCAAGTCCGAGTGTGAAATCTGAAAGTGAAGCGAATAGTCCACCTAGTATGATGCAGCAACAAGGTAGCCCATTAGTTGGTGGTTGCAATGACGAAGTTGCTGGTGTCAGTGCATTGACTGGTGATGGCGTTACCTTGGCTGAGGAACCTTGGAACGAGGAACCCGATGACTTGGATATCGCTGATCTGCCAGTTGCTCTACGTGCCATGGTAAGTTGTATACTTCCTTGAGCTTAGCAATATTCCTGACAATATAAGACGGTCGTATAATTGTAAATCATAAATGGGAAATATTTGATTATCATAATAGACAGAGATACGAAATATGTAGAAGATGATTTCAGTAACAACGATAAGCCACATTTTCATTCTACGTTTGCAATAACAAATCTAAATTACTCAATCCAAAATGATCAATTTCTGATTAATCCAACAGGTTGGCGGAATGGAATCGCAGCAGCAACAACAACCTCCTCCTCCTGCCTCGAGGAATCGTCTGAAAGGCAGACTAAACGCAAAGGGCATGCCGAGCTTGCCAGTAAGCGTGTCCGGTATGAGGGGAACACGTGGTATGGGTCCTCAGGGTAACATCGGGGACCTGAACAGGAGGATCACTGACCTGAAGATGGAGGGTGGCGGTCCCGCCCGCCAAACGAGTCTTTCTGACCTGCAACTCAGGCTGCAACCTCTCAACGAGCCACGAAGGGACAGCAACAGTACTGTGAGCACCTATTACGGTAGCATGAAGTCCACGGACTTTGGTAGTAGAAGAAGCAGCCAGGCTAGCGGGGTCAGCGCTGTCAGAATGGGTCAAACTGGACCTGGGAGCTTCTACGATCCCATCAGTCCAGGAACATCACGAAGAAGCAGTCAAATGAGTACCACTTCCGGTAGAATGAACCCACCGAGTCATCTTCAAGGACCTTACTCGACGAGCAATCTTGTCGTTCAGACGCAAAATATGTCTCTTCAGGTTGGTAGATGAATATTTTATCTCTTTTCTTATTACGTTTATTTTGGTTGGACTAATAATGTGCGTGGAATATTTAATGTAATGTAACGATAAACTTAGGGTATCCAGGGTATGCCAGGAGATTGGAACGGTCCAAGCGGCCATTGTACGCAACCATCCGGTGATCGTCGCATGTCCGAACCCACCAGGGGTCACCAGACCCAAAGAAATTCACCGCCTGTACCACCCAGACCAAGATCTGCTCAACTTCCAGAACATCATCCTAATCAGGAAGTCATTCTGGATGAGGTTGGAGAAGGTGAAATGGTGGAGAATAAGCTGGTCATTCCTGATGAGATGATGCAGTACTTGAATCAAGTAAGTGTTTTCTTAAAGCATCTTATACGTAGTTCTATAAAGCAGCGTTCGCTTAAGCTTCAACGAATCGGAAGATCGTATTGTAACAAGTGTATCGTAAAACAAGTAGCGATTTTATTCCAGAAATACTTTCCAATTGAATTTTAGCGGAAACAACTTATAACGATAAACAATTTGTTATAGACTAATGAATCAATGTATTTACTAATCTATTTTTTCTTTCTGCAGGTTCAAGCAGGAGGAACTCAGGTGAATTGCCGTAGCAGTCCCTTACCAATTTGCCAGTCCCCAATTTGCACAAATCCCTTGCACTACCAACGTCAAATACAGCCTACTTGCAACTACAACCAGCCTCACCAACAAACCTGCTACCCGCCACCACAACCAGCTCAACCAACGTGCACGAATTATCAGAATACCTCTCCATCTCCTTACAACCAATGTCCTAGTTCTAGACCTCCTCAGTCTAATTCACAATACTGTCCTCCACCCTCTTATCCATCTCAACCGAACGGCGGGCAAGTGCTCAGTCCAGCAGCGGGTCAAGTCATGTCACCAGGATCTCACTACGCTCCCAGTCACATCAGCGATCAGCCTCTAACTTCACCAGCAGCTGGTGCCTTAGCGCCTCAGCATCCTCCACAAAATCTTCCTCAAAACTCTGCTCAGTTAACTAGGAACTGTCCCCAAAACCACATGCACCATGGCTACTACCCTAGTTACAATTGTCAGGCACAAATGAACGCGAATTGTACCGGAAATCCAACCAGCCAAGTGAACCACCACACAAACCCCGTTTGTGCTCCACCGAATCACAGCTCTATGAACCAACAACAGTGCGTGCAGATGCGATCAACTGGCAATTGTCCACAATTGTCTCCCCACTGCACTCAACAGCCAGCTATATCTAATCAGACAACTATGAGCCATGCTAATCCACAGTGTGGTCAAGTAGCCAATCAATGTACCAGGCCAATGGTGACACCTAATGGCCAGGTGTCAAATATTCACCCTGTTCAGCAGAGCACAGTGCCCAACCAATGTGCTCAGATGTCGCCACACTGTTCTCAACTGAACATCAACAACCAGGCTAAACCAATCACCAACATAACCAGTCTCCAAGGCTGTCAACAGCAAACACCACAGCAAAATACACCTTGCCTGCAAATGGCTAATTGCGCTCATCCCAATGGTGGCCATAGATCAGTGAACGATTCTGCTTTACCGAAGAGGACGTCTCCACAGTTGTGCACTGCTCAGCAGACCAATTGCAGGATACAACAGCAGCAACATACTTGTACACACAATTGTGCTCGAACCAATCCTCCAAATCATCAACAGTACAATTGTAACTGCCAATGGGGTTACGGCGGAGATCAATGTTACCACGAGCAAACCGGTGCTGCTATGCCAGAGATTCAATGCAGAGACATCAGTCAGTCTCAACAAGGATCTCCTATGAAGCCTCCTCAAGGAATGAGACAAGATTCGTACAGAAGGACACTGGAGTATGTGCAACAGTGCAGAAACTGGTCTGGAAACGCACAGACCCACGAAACAAATGTCTCTAGTTCTACTCACCCCATGTCGCTGCCACAGCCATTGCCATCAAGTGCCAATATGGTGGTCAACGACATGACTTCGTCTCTGAGTTCGTTGCTCGAGGAGAACAGATACTTACAGATGATCCAGTGAATATCGTAATCGCGATATGAATATATAAATATAGATATATATTTTCTATCGTAACCTTTTTTGATACTATCGTTTAATAAGAATGTTGGAACGAAGAAATAAATAATCCATCTCAACTTTTGGAGATGGAACCTTTGTATTTTTGATAAAGACCGAAGGCTTTTTCTTATTCTTTGTGTAGAAACGTGCGCATTTCGTAATTGTTAAGCGCCCAGTCGACGATCGCTTAAATTAATTGTTAATTAGAATTGTGGATCGCGTGCTCGAAAGATGGATGACGTTCTCGGTGATTGAGAAACGATCGCAGTCGAAGTGATACGTATTACGAGAGAGTTCAAATGTGTTTTCTACTACGCTGCGTTGTTTATAGGATATAGTATGTATTTTGTACAAAAATTGACGGAACCTCGGGGTGCCTTACAGAGCTAAGCTAAATGGAATAACGGAGTAATTTATTATTTTTGGAGGATTGTATTTAAGACGTTTAACGTCTAAAATTCTGTCAAGCGAAATTTATAGGATTATCAAAGCACTACGCTTACGGGCGAGATCTCCGTTGGATCAAGCTTCTGTTTGTCGCACAAAATTTTACGCGTGTGAATATCGACACCGCGTCAGAGAATGTGAGATACTTTTCGAGAACATCCTTGTAACCGTATTTTTGTACGACCAGTCTTCTCAAAGCGTGCCAACATACCGTTCTTATCGTGTCATCGTAATTTTATCTTCTTAACGTTAACAGCGAATGATAAACGACGTACATGGTGACTTTATAAAAATACATTTTCTATGCGATGGTGCGACCTGCTAATGAGATTAATCGATCGAAATGAAAAAATAGACAGCCAATATTAGGATATAACGATGTGTAGATAAATCATACTAATGTAAGAGATTATTAATCAACGCTCATGGACCACGTGCATGATAAAATTAGACAATCATTTCGTAAAAATGTGTTGAATGTGTGTACCGATGGACGAACGAGTGGCTCTATGCGTGTGTCTTTCATAAGAATCATTGTAAAAAAAAGAAGCGCAAGGCAACTAAAGAAACATTTCTAGATTATATATATTTGGTCTTTTGATCGACCGAAACGATCATAATAGAATCCCTCTAATTTTATAAAATGTATCATCGTCGAGTGCCTTTCATCGTCGTGTCGATCGATGAGAAATTAAAGAGTACGTTGAACAGTTGAAAACTTAGCGTACCTAGAGCTGTTTTCTTTTTCTTCTTTCCTTTTGTTATGCAAACGATTTTGTACGAATTTTATTATATCTACGAAAGGCGAGGAGTCTTGTGAATATTATACATATCTTATCGTATACATATAGCGTAGTGATTCAAGTATGTGAATGGAAGGAGTATGACAAAAGTTTTACATCCTGAGAATTGTTAATTATTTTAAAATAAATCATATCGATCCCATCAACGAAATATTCTCGTTAGAAGTGCTTCTAATAATCTTACCTGTCTCGTTTAATATTGCGTTCAATATGCGTTTAATATTTAGAAAACAATACTTACAGAAGACATACGAAATAGATGAATAACAGATATCTGGCTTTTTCAAGGAATCTTTATTTATACAGTGAAATTAGTAGGTACAATTTGTAGAAGGTACAAAACAGGAACGGATTCCAGAATGATCACATACAGAATCTCGGTTAGGAACAACGAGACGTTATTTACATCGATAAATTCATGGTACATTGATAATAAAAATATTGGAGCATGAAAAAAGAGAAAAAGGAAGTTTAGTAGAAATATTCGTATCGATAGCTTTGAATCACAATGATATGTTTCAAAGTCTTTTCTTAAATTACGAAGACAAGTTACATTTCGTACGTAGATTTAATCATTAGACGAGACGACACGTTTTGTTCGTGAAAAATACGTTTCTTTTTTTTTTTAATATATAGGATGAGCCCAAAAAGATAAAATCATCCTAAAATTATATAATTCCTCTTGGAAACGAGAGCCGACACGTTTTTCGAGACGAGACTCAAACAAGCGCGTTCTTCACGTTTCTGTGCACGACGGAAATAAACGCGACGTAAACGAACGATTAAAAATTGTAGGCGTCTCAAGACGTGTTATCGGGTGGTGGTTCGTTAGAAACGCCACTCGAGTCGAGCTTCTCGGTATTTTTGGCGTCCTCGGTGGTCGATGATTCAGGTACCTGAACAATAACACAGTCATGAAATACGTCGTTCTGTAACTTATTATTAAATATATCATACCAGTAAGCATACTATTATCAAGTATGTAGTATGTGAATGGTAAAAATAGAATAGCAGACGTAAAAGGCAGTAGAATATTTCAATTTGCTAAATTATTAGTTAATATACCGATATGTATTTTTGAAATTATTAAGATACACTAAGACGAAGAAGTAACGACAGTAAAAAGTTTAAAAAATGGATTATATAAACGAAATATTTAGTATTCCGTGAATAAAATTCAAAACAACGGACAAAAAAATAAGGATAAGGAAAAATTGTTCTTAAAAGAAGACAATAAATTTGAAGTAAAAAACCTGCTACTGTCAGATTGCGATGACATCGCACGTAAATATCAAACCCACGACCACAGTCACTTTTAATAGAACGTTACGCGCGAAACCCACCAATGAATTATCGTCTCGTGAACTCAAAGACTACACGACACGTGCCAAAAACTTGGAACCACGTATTCCATTCACCAGCAAACACAGGAAGCTCACAGGCTAAAATATCTTCTACAATATATGAAACATCCATACCTGACGAGGTAGATCCGACAAAGTAGTCCCTAACCTTCGACTAGGTAGGACATCAGGCATGGGAGGAGGAACAGGCGGTTCCCCATAGACTTCATGAAGCTCCTCTAACCTAGTACTCAACGCAGAACCTCTTCTATTGGTCGCACTCATCTTATTCATCAACCATTTCGCCTGCTCTTCCAACCTTTTCAATCTATCTTCCCTGGCAGCTAAAGCTTCTTCCGGTGTCCTACTCTTTGCACCAGGAACCTTCTTGTCTTCCTGTTTCCCAGATCCACCAGCTTCTGCCGAACTCGCGTCTCGTTTTCCAATTTCACCTGGTGAACTCGACGAAGCAGATTCTGTCGTGGCAAACTCTTTGACAGTCTCTATGCTCGACGAAGAGCCCACAGAAACGTTATCCGAATCGACAACGCTTTCCATTGGTTTGGTGGGTCGCTTTTCCTTAGAGCCCACCATGTCCTCGCTTGTCGGCGTGTCGAAAGACGAGGAAACTTGTCCGTTTGACAACGACGCGCCGAAAACTGGAGCAAAAAATCGATTAGATGGACCGACGATCAAGGGATCGCTGAATTGGACGTTTTTCACGATCGAAGGTGCCACGCTGGACGGAGGAAAGGGCCCGATAGAGAACACAGGCTGTGTGTTGGCTACACTGGTTGCACTAGGTACATAGGATGTGGACAATTTTGAGGAGTCTTCGTTCTTTTCTTTCTCACCGTCCGTATTCGTCGTGCTTCGAGCATCTTCCATTGCGATTGACGACGATCCACTGTGAGTTTGTACTGGTGCATTGAGACTGAAAGCTTTGTTGACGTCTTTCACGATGACTCCTTCAGGCTCTGGAAGACTCGTAGACCAAGATTCGATGGTTGGTACCATATGATCACCCTTGATGTCTTCTGTAGCATTTTCATCGTTTGCAGCTTCGAAGGTTGCTGACGTCACGTTTATACTGCTCTCGATTCCTATGAGATTCTGGATGACGTTTGTCAGAGCCTGGTCCAGGGGATTTAGCGATTCCTGTGGACTTCCTGGGATCAACTATCGAAGGAGAGAAGTCTTGAGTACTTTGCGATTGTTAGTGAGTTTGGATTTAACAGAAAATGTATTGAATGTTTGTTAACGTACTGGTGACTCGTTTGTAGATTCAGCATTTAGAGTTGCCTCCGCGACTTCGGTCTCGTCTAGCTCCGCTTCTGTTTCTGGAGTAGGCGTTCGTTGCTCCAGTGTCGCTGAGGAACCTGTCTTTGGCTCGGATAGCTCGGTGTCAGTCGGTTGCTCTGATTCTGTGTCTGGTGTTGGTGCTCGAGGACTCTCCTAAAGATGCATTTCTCGTTATGTGTATATCGTACATTTTTTGTTACATGTAAAATTTCAGTATTTGAACGAATATCTAATATATTTGTATGATATAAAAAATTGCAAGATTCTAGTAGACGTTAAAGATAATCGAATTATTAGTAACCTTTCGCGGTCTTCTGCGTGGACCTAATCTAATTCTTCCTTCCACGGCATTGTCTTCTTCGTCGGTATCATCCCCTCGTTCATCGCTGAACCCACTTTCCGCACTGTATCGAAAAATTGATAAGAGTACACCGATATGAAGATTATAATTGGAAACTTATATTCTTATTCTATATTAGACGTGTAAATTAGTTGGAGGCATTCGTAGACTGAAATATCTTGCTATCTTACAACAATTCCAAAGAAACTACATCTATAACTTCGCTTAACGTCGTCGAACGATAGAAATTACTTTAATGAATTACATTCATATTGTTTCTGTAAATTACCTATTGTTGAAAGAATCGTGAGAAGCCAGAGCTTTTCTGGCTGCGAACTCTCTTCTCAAACTTCTCCACTCTAATTCCGTGTTCGTGTTCTTCTGTCTAGCGGATTCCCATTTCTCGCGGCAGTATTCCAATTCCTGCTTCAATTCTTGTAACATTTTTCGCTTCTGCTGCAACTCGTATCGAAGAATCTTCTCGTGCGTGTGCAACTGATGATGTTGTGCTTGCATTCGATCGACTATCGTCCAGGTTTTGCTTAATTCCGCCGATACCGTCGATAATCGCTTTTCCTAGAGACGTATGCGGGAATTAATTTAAAAAACTGTTTTGTAAGATAATAGGGAAAAGGAAAGGTGAGATTCTTATTTGTTACCTGTTCACCGAGTTTGCATTCTAAATGAACGTTCAACTGTTTCATTCGATTCATCTCCTTCTCCAAGTGTTTCTTTTCCAATATTAATTCTTTCAGGCGAATATACGTTTTGCTGACTGAAATCACCAATCTGGGACCAGCTGGGGTGTCGACTGACTTGTAACAGATATTGGGGTCAGAAGAGGATGCCGCTGAAGCGGACGGAGCACATTCTGCGTGACAGCTCAGCAACTCCAATAAGACACGCCAAACCTGAGACAGACAATATCTCATCATTAGATCGCGAATCTTTATGCGAGTTTATATTTTTATGAATATATCTACTCTGAATATCTTACGTATTTTCTATTTTTTCTATTTTTAAATCATAATCACATTTAATCCGTTCGAAACAGATTTTTCTTCAAAAAATACGATAATATAATGATATGAATCATAATATATTCAAATTTGAAAAAAATGGATCAAATATAATTTACCAAACGAGATGTGCAGTTAGGTCACATCTCAGTGATACGAGGAGGATTCTAACGATCCTGCGAAAGGATTAAATTGCTCGTAAATATTTGAAAGAGGAAATGAAATTTATAATTCTTACTTTAGGTAGATTGTGAGCTATGTCTTCTTGTTGTAAGTCATCTTCCTTTTTCTCTGCTTCGACCTCGGTTCCGTTCTCTCCGTCAGCGCGTTTCTGGGACGGTTTGCTGCCCTCGACTTGCTCGATTAAATCGAGAAGAAGCTTGGGAAGCGCGGCGGCCTCGGTGCCTTCCTCTCTCGCCATGTTGCAGATCAGGTCGTGATTCTCCTGTTAAAATTTCAAAATAACCAAAATCCACAACAGGTATGGGCAAAAGCGTGGTCAGTTTTAGGAAAACATATCATAATTCTCCAATACCTGAAGTAACTGAGTCAATCGATCGAGATCCATGTCGGCAGAGGTAGCACCCAACAGCATCTGCGTAAACAGGCTATTAATCAGAGACATCTGATTTTGAAGATCTCTGCAGTCCGCTTTGGTGAGTCCCAATTGCGACTCCAAATTTGATATTTCCGTATCCTGCGTGTCGATCTGTCCCAAACACATAAAGAAAACTACATCTGAAACGTGCGTTCTATCACAAGAAAAGACATATTTCGAATATTATTCTAGAATATCACATTTTTCATTCAATTATTCGAATAACAAAAAGTTAACGATGACTGTCCTATAAAAAAAATAAAAAAGAAAATTGGGGTGACTTTCTACCACATGGAAACTCACTGCCCAAGTATTTTTTACCTTAAAAATTCCCGTATCACTAAATTTAGTTTCATTCGACTTTAAGAAAGTTCAAGTCGATATTTTTAGTGCTTTCTGCAAAAGATGTCCCTAATACTTAACGTAGCGGACTCTGCATCATGCTATTGCATGAGTATCGATTTATAAACTTAAATGATTTTATAAATAAATTAGATAACTTATAGACTTAATACCTTCTCGTCAGCCTTCTTTAGATCCTCCTCCAAG